AGTCATGTATGGATGTGAGAGTTGGACTATAAAGAAAGCTGAGCACTGAAGAATTGATGTTTTTGAACTGTGGTGTTGGAGAAGACTCTTGAGAGTCCCTTGGACTTCAAGGAGATCCAACCAGTCCATCCTCAAGAAAATCAGTCCTGAATATTCATAGGAAGAACTGATGCTAAAGCTGAAACTCCAATATTTTGCTCATCTGATGCAAAGAACTGACTCATTTGAAAAGACCCCGATGCTTGGAAAGATTGAAGGTGAGAGGAGAAGGGGATGACAGAGGATGAGATGGTTGGATGGCATCACTGACTCAATGGACATGAGTTTGAGTAAGCTCTGGGATTTGGTGATGGACAGGGAGGCCTGGCATGCTGCAGTCCATAGGGTTGCAGTGTCGGACTCTACTGAGTAACTGAACTGAACTGAACTGAGGGAGTATAGGAGGACTCAAGATGTGCAACTGAGTCTGGGGCTATATTAAAAGGATGAACCCAGCCTATTGAAATAAAGTCCCAAATCCTATTATCAACAGGAAGGCTGAAAGGAGCGCGAAACATACAATCCTAAGTAAGAATTTATCATTTCCTCTCTGGTTTAGACACTAAGCTTTAGTTTCTGTGAATGTCAGTTTTCTTATCTACAGAATTGAAATAATTCTTACTAATAGTTTCTCAAAGTTTACATGAGATCATGGTATTTGTCATATTAATGACACCTATTATTATATAGCATGTCAGAAAAATAAACCTTGAGAGCATGAATAACTGAAAACATTTGGGCCAAGCAGAGACTCAAGTATAAGAATTAACTGCCACCAGAGGGTAGGGTTGCAGGTAACTAGAAACCCTTTTGCCAAGAATTGCTAATTATTTCTTTTTGAAGAATAAAATTACATCTTGGTTATTATTAAATATATATATTAATTTATATTAAAAATAAATAATGAATACAGTGAATGTGCCTATAGTCATATATTAGTGTTTATCTGTTGATGAAATTATCTGCTATCTGTTATCTGCTACAACTGACTGTAACAGAGCTCATGTGGGTAATACATAAATTAAGAATAGTTTAATGTTTCAGGATATGGAGAATGACAAGGCAGGCAAACTATTTCTAATCCCCTTCATAAAAACTTGATCCAAAGAGCCTCAGTGTTTTCATCAGAAAATGGTCTAACTGGAAGAAAAATGGGGACAGCGTGGGGCAATGGATAGATGGGGTCCTGATTTTTCAAGGTGGTTTGACATTAGATTTGGGCTGAGAAAGGTAAGAAGAATGTTTCAAGAAAAAGTCCAGTAGACGAAGGCTAATGAAGTGAGAAAACAGAGGGCAACAGCATAAGAGGTAAGAGAATGGCCAAAACTTCATTTGCATGGAATCAGGAATAAAAACCATGAAAGGATAAAATAAGGTACAATCACTGGCAGGATTTGAATACTTTGATGAGTTCAGAAGTTGAACTACCAAAAGGTTATCTAAAGATTCTCTTCTTATGGAAGGACATATCAGTCCCTAACAAAGTTTCATTCTTGAAGAAAGGGAAGGGCAATGTTGTTCAACTTTTCGGGAAGCCAGAGACTAAGTAGTTGTCCTTGACAATGTCTGTTCCTCAATTTTCATATTGAATTATTTTAATTATTTACTCTTTGTAATCTCAAAAATCTTTCCACATTCCACTGTTTCTTTGGTTTCCACCCTTTCCAGGCTTCCATCGCCTTTTACTACAACTGCTATAGCAAACTTATGTCCCAGAGTTCACTGCTCATCTATCTTCACCCTAGATCTCTTCAACTCTCTACTAAGAATAATATCTAGAGTGATTTTTCCAAAATAAAACTAATCATGTGGTCATACTCTCCTTAAAACATTTCCTCAGTTCTCATTATTTTCAGTATTAACATAAAAATAAACAATTTATCCCACATAGGCCAGTATGATTTGGTTCTGGTTATTATTTTATTTTTTTTATATCCATCAACTTGTACAACTCCCTCTTCTGTACTTCATACTATTCAGTCTGTTCTGGCCCTCCTTCAATTTCTTATCATCTAGAACATATTCCAATATTTTACAAAATGATTGAATTAATAATAATTGTTCCTAATGTGTATGCCTATTATTAGTAAGAAAATATTATCGCTCAATTTGTGGTTAATAATTGTAGAGTCTGCTAAATGGAGATAATTGTGATTTTCTCAAAGATAAACTCACCAAATTGCTACTAGCTATCAATTTATATTTAGAGACAGAAAATTGTTCCCCAATTTTTTTTTGAGGTAAAAATATCTTTACTTTTTACAATTCATAGAGCCTTTGGAAAGTACTTAACATTCATAATAAAATATGCAAACAACTTTCTATTAGATTTTGATGAACTTGTGAGAAGACCACTGAGCTGTCAGCTAATCAATAAATAATTATTGTTTTCCTTTGCCCCTATGAAAAGTCCTGAAAAAAAAAAAAAAAAGAAATCTTTCCATTAGCTTTTTTCTCTTCTCTTATAGAACCTTTGAAATAAATATTTGAACAAGCTTATAACCAATTCATTCAAGTTTCATTAACAGTATTAACTTGAGATGGGTAAAGAGCTAGCATAAATACAAGAGGACTTGAGTGCTCAAATACTCTCAGATCTACTAATGATACTCAAACCAGTCTTCCAGTAGTATGTATGGAAACTGTTAAGAAATAGCNTCCTGAAAAAAAAAAAAAAAGAAATCTTTCCATTAGCTTTTTTCTCTTCTCTTATAGAACCTTTGAAATAAATATTTGAACAAGCTTATAACCAATTCATTCAAGTTTCATTAACAGTATTAACTTGAGATGGGTAAAGAGCTAGCATAAATACAAGAGGACTTGAGTGCTCAAATACTCTCAGATCTACTAATGATACTCAAACCAGTCTTCCAGTAGTATGTATGGAAACTGTTAAGAAATAGCGTAAATTTAAAACCTGTACTTTTATTGCTTTCATTAAGAAGTTAATCATTGCTCAAATAATATCTGATTTAAAATTTTCAGTATTTCTCAAGGTAGAAAAGTTTGATATATCTGTTTGAGTCACTGATTATGCCTTTCTCCATGCATGCATGTGTGCTCAGTTGTGACTAACTCTTTGCAACCCTATGGACTATAGCTGTCAGGCTCCTCTGCCCATGGGATTTTCCAGGCAAGAATACTGGAGAGGGCTGCCATTTCCTTCTCCAGGGGACCCTCCCAACCTAGGGATTAAACCCCATCTCAAAGTCTTCCGCAATGGCATTCCTGGGTGGCTCTTTACCACTGAGCCCCCTGGGAATGCCATCCTCTGCCTTCCTTCAAATCATTCTATCATGCTTCAAGGAGAGTAATTAGTTAATACAGTCACTCAGTTGCTCAGTCATTCCGACTCTGTGACCCCATGGGCTTCAGCACGCCAGGCTTCCCTGTCCATCACCAACTCCCGGAGTTTACTCAAACTCATGTCCATTGAGTCAGTGATGCCATCCAACCATCTCATCCTCTGTCATCCCCTTCTCCTCTCACCTTCAATCTTTCCAAGCATCAGGGTCTTTTCAAATGAGTCAGTTCTTTGCATCAGATGAGCAAAATATTGGAGTTTCAGCTTTAGCATCAGTTCTTCCTATGAATATTCAGGACTGATTTTCTTGAGGATGGACTGGTTGGATCTCCTTGAAGTCCAAGGGACTCTCAAGAGTCTTCTCCAACACCACAGTTCAAAAACATCAATTCTTCAGTACTNCCTAGAAATTTGTTAATTTCAAGATCCATTCTGAATTTATTTCTTCTTGCTAAGCTAAATTTCTAGTTATCAGATGACTATATTCAACATAATTATAGCATTCAACAATTGTTAGAATACAGCTTGTTATTAAATCATTGAATAATCAATTCCAACTTTCAATTAACAACATAGAATTGGATAATAGAAAAAGAATACAAAAGAGACATAATTATTACAGACTAAATGACAAACATTTTTAAAGTTGTATAGTAGAAATCTTTTACCTCTTGAAATAACAGTTTCTAATCCAGTTCCATTAATAAAAGCCCGTTTGATGGTTTGCGTCTTAATGTCTGTCCAGTATAGACGTTCTTCAGAAGCATCAAAGTCTATCACAGTAACATCATCAATATCAGGGACTGTAAAGGCCGTGATAAAGTTAAAATATGGATTATCAATATCCACCCCTCTGATTTCAGAACGTCGTGCATATAGAAGAAATTTCTTCATTTCTAGAAATGAAACAGAAATGTATTTTTCTTTATAAGCTTGGCAAGTTTGAAGCAACCTAGAAATTCTAAACATTTGTTGATGATTTAATAGGTTTTTAGCATATGAAAAACATGACCAAGATTTGATAAAATATGAAAAATAAGTTAAAATCCTTAAGTCATTTTTCTTAATGTCAAGAAATTATCAGGAATTGATCTGATCTTAGAATTTCAAGCAAACTTGTTAAAAGACATGAACTTTACAAATCTCAAACAGCCACATTTGTCTTTGTTTATAATCATAAAAATATTGCAGTGTAGTAGATGCTTTTTGAAGGAATCTAAGAACATTTTTCTCTATATGATCTTTGAATAAAATGAGGTTGAACATTGCTTTTAAAAATCATGTTCATTTTTTCCATATCAAAATTAGGCTAATGTTAAAGCATAACATACTGCAAATTTTTGTGAATCTGTAGTAAGTAACATTGTGAGGCATTCTATTATTTTTACTTAAATAGACATCTTTCTTGTACCAAGTTTGTGAAATATTGGTACATTTAATAGAAAGAAGAGTCATAGATATTCTATTCTCTTGTTTTTCTCCTTTGGGGTTATTGTTGATATTTGAAATATGTTATTATTGTGAAAAATTATTTAAAGCCAAGGGTACCTAACTTTCTGAGTTAAAATTTGATGAATACACTTTCATTGGCCCTTCAAAGTAATTGGTTTGCAAATCAACAAAAATTACTAATAAAACAAAGCAAAACATAGTCTGATTTTCATTCACAAATTTTAGTATCAATTTTTGGTTTAAATAGGCTGTTAAAAGTTTTTTTATAAATCTTCCCAATTTATATATTTTACTTCATATTTTCTCCCTTCAAGTTGATAATCCCCTATAAAATGATGCTGAAGTAACTTTAGGAGAGCAGGAGGAGATTAAAGCTGTTAAGCACATCTTTGTTATGCGGGTTACCTACATCATTATTTTTTGATAATGCATTTTCACTTGCAAATCTCCCTGTTCTGTAGAGATAAACTCTGCTAACACACCAAATAAGAAAGTAGCAAGAAAGAAAGTGAATAAGATAACAAGCAGCAAAGTGCAGCCTATCACATATTTAAAGAATTTGTCAGTGTCTCCCAAAGTAGATGACTCATCAATTGACTGAAAATAGCACCACCTCAAATGCTGGTTTTTAAGGACATTAAAAACCTCTCCTGCTTTACTGTGAGGAAAATCCAAATGCTAATACAATCTGAGAGGATTCACTTTGGAGTTTCTGTAAGACCTGGGAGAAATTTACCATAGCAAGTCTTCTTGTTGGAGGAAAGCTTCATCAAGTGGGGGCACGCACAGGCAGCACTCCTGTTATGATTGATCAGACACATGTGCGAGCAAGGGCCTCTGCCATCATTAGCTGCACAGGGATTGGGAGCTGTAATTACACAGTGAAATATTAACAGTGAAGAAGGAAGAACACGTTAGGGGACCTCTGAGGGTGACAAGGGTTATTCACTTAATGATTCAAAGTGAAGTTCCCTAGATAGCACATGTTACTCAAGTGATTAATATGACAATAATGACAATCATACACAGTTATTACATGAATAAAAACATTTTTCCTCATCAAAGATAACAACTAAGGTAACTCCCTCAAGTTCCTCTAAGATGAATGATATTCATTCTATTGCCTTAGAAGCAAAGGGTTTTTTTTTAAGTATTTAGTCTCAGAAACAATCAGGAACAGTTATTAAATTTTGTATAAATTAAACTCAGGTAAATGTGATCATGCAGGTGTCAGGAGTTCCAACTGAGAAACTGCTGTTACATATACTGTGTATCCTTTCAGGCCATTTCTTTTTCAAATCAGAGGCCTATATGAATAAAAATTTCATCTTCCTTTATTATAAAGACATCTTTTTTTGCTGTATTAACTTATTCCATGGCTAAATATTGCTACATACTCATATTTACTATATTCCATCATATCCAAAACTTGATATCTTCAAATTTAAAATGGAATATTAAATTTTGTGTTTGATCTCATCCTCTCATTCTTTTGTGTTTATTATTTTGTCATTGTTAGGTAGTTAGAATAAGCAAAAGGAGTCCAGAATGGCAGTGGCTAAAAGACAAGGAAGGGAAAAGCCTGTGAAAATAGAATAAAGGAAGGTCCGAGGACTGGAGTGAGGACCTCAGGTAGAACAAACAACACTCCTTGCTAGCCCAGTTTACATAGGGCAGGCCCGGGGGAGGAGAAAAAACATATAAAAGGAGCCAAAGGACTGGAGGTTTCTCTCTCTTCTCTTCGAGTGTTTTGGGTCATCATGCCCTCACACCTAGAGGATGTATTTTCCTTTATTTTCTAAATAAAACTGAGTTGTAACATGGAGCCGTAACACTGATCCATCTGAGAGCTGTAATGCTGGTCCATCACTTCAAATTTTTGTTGTGACGAGACAGAACTAAGGAAATACACACTCCCCAGACATCATCATATCTTTTGGATAAGATTTTAATCTCAATTGATCCAATGTTTTCTTAAATATTATTTTTATAAAGCCTATCTAGTAGGACAAATTCTATAAAACTATGCTGGTCAACTGAGGGCAGAAAAGAATTATACCTTTTGATTTCAGCAGCAATACTTTAGTCTTCAACTAACAATATTTTCCTAACAAACGGATCTATTTCTCAGAGTAGCAATATCGGTCTTATAGACTTTTAAACCACAAAGAATAAAAATCAATAGGTTATAATAAGAATTTAGAGATTAGAGAAATTAAATGAATTTAATAAATGCTCAAGGTGGCCTTTGGCAGTCTTCGGGACCCTCCCCATAAGATAACAAAAATGATCCATGTCTATGCATTTGATTTAAAAAATAAAAACAAAAAAGAAAATGAAAGACTCAGAAATATTTTCCCAAGCAAATAAATTAAGGACCAACATTATTAGAAAAGAGTGGAGACTAAAGTTGAGACTCTTTATNCAATAGATTTTGTTAGTATGCCTGTGAACTTAAATATTCCTGTGGCAAAATGATACATATATATTGAATGACTCCATGAATATCCATGTGTGAAAATTCAAATGTGCCTATCAAGTACCAAGGTGAATCAAAAAGAAGACATCAACCAAAGCTATTAAGGCCTAAGTGTCCTGAACTGTTCTTAGGTAAAAGTCGGTTACAAATCTTAAATATATATATATATATATATATATACATATATATATACACACTAAAGTAAAAAAATGCACTTTGCAGCCCCAATATCTGTATTAATGATAACACTGTAAGGTAGTATTAACAATATTTTGTGCTTCATGGTGAGGAAAAATCCACAAAGACTTCTTTCAATTTTTATCTTTTCTCACTTTGAAATAATGGACTTAAATCTTTTTGATGTTATTTCTAACCATACATTTAAATAGATACCTACTCTAAATACCAAATTAAGGAATTTGGTTTTCATACTCACATCTTAGTACAAAGCAAGGCTCAGCAAATATGAATCCTGGAGCCTTATCTGGTTCACTGTCTATTTTTATGAATAAAGTTTTATTGGACCATGGCCATGCTCATTAATTTACATGTTATTCACATGACTTTCTCATTATAGTAGCAGAGTTGAACAGTTTCAGCAGGGACCACTTGGCAGAAAAAGCCCTAAACTACATTTTCTAGCTCTTTACAGACAATACCTGATACAAAGTTACTATTTTATAAGAAATACTATTGCAATATCCAATATTAATATGAAGATTGTAAACCCCTAAAAAACCAAAACTATCCCATGTATTGTATCCAGGAGATGGGAAAAACTGACCAGTTAATGGGATGCTATAAAGAATATTAACAGATGAAATCCAAATATAGGTGTGCAACTTGGGTTCATTGATAATTCTTATCAAAACTCAAGTTGACCAAACAAAGACCTTTAAACATATGTAACACCCCACTTAAATTTACTCATTGAATACATATTTATGAATCACCTCATATTCTGCCTAGTTTTAAAAAGCTGGATATAACAGCAGATAAGAGATAGTTCTTGCATCAAAGAATTTAAGAGTCTGTACTCTTAAATACACCATTCTCTCCAAATCTATGGTCACTGGCTCAATTTAGGTTCTTTGCATCTCTTGCTTGGATTGCTGCTCTAACTTCCTAAATAATCTGTTAATTTTCAGTCTCTCCTCCTTGCCTATGGTAACTTTCTAACATACAGACTTGCTCATATAGTTCCTTTGCTTAAAAATCTTGGATAGTTTCTCTACTTTAGATAAGTCTTCCTCACAAAGACGCACATTTTATCTGCTACCATTTCCTCCAAGGTTTATTAACACTAGCCAGATTGGTGTGCTCAGTTGCTCAGTCATGTCCAACTCTCTGCGACCCCATCGACTATATTCCACTAGGCTTCTCTTTTCATGGGATTCTCCAGGCAAGAATACTGGAGTGTGATGTCATTTCCTCCTCCAGATCTCCTAGACCCAGGGACTGAACCCACATCTCCTGTGTCTCTTACATTGTTAGGCAGATGCTTTACCACTGTGCCACCTGGAAGCCCTCCAGATTGATTTACCTGCTGTTTTTTTACCTTTCATTTTTTTGTTTGTTTGTTTTTTAATCCTGATCCACTCTGTTTATTTTTATCAAAGATGTCATAGTCTTCTAAATTCCAAAAATTTTAATTTCAAAGATTATTTTTTACTTCTCTTTCACTACCATATTTAATTGTCAACCATTATCAGACTTGCCTATTATGTGCCCTTTCTTTCCATTTTTACCTCTCCTCTTGCAATATAAAATTATTTCATCAATTTGGAGTAACTGCTATAACCATGTAACTAGTATTCTATGGTGCTGTCAAAAGTATATTAATCTCTGTTTCAAAGACACCATCCTATCTTGTAGTTTTATCTACCATTTTCCTTCTACATACACATTATGCACATGGTAAAAAGGACTCCAAATTGTTCCTTGAACATCTATAGCTTGTCTTTTTCTACCTCCACAGAAAGTATTTTCTTCCTGTAGAATTTCATTACCAACATCCTTACATTATTATTTCATGAATCAGCTCGAGTTATTTTTCTTTCACAAAATATTTTCTAATGAAACTAGCTAATGCTGATTTATTACAACTCTAAATATTAGTTTCAGTTATCAATATAAAAGGCATTAGGCATTTATTATTTATTGTCTTATTTTCTAATTGTCTTTGACATGTATTTGCATATTTTTATCATTATACCCTGCTCTCTCTAGGTAAATCAGGGGTAGGGAAACTATTTTTTTTGTTTGTTGTTTTCTATAAAAGGCCAAATTGTAAATATGTTCACCTTTGTAGCCCTTGTGCCCTTCCTAGTAATTTTTCAACTTTGCTACTACAACAAAAAGCAGCCATGAAGCAATATGTGAATCAAGACATATAGCTATGTTCAAATAAAATTTTATTTGCAAACTTTGCAGATGTCTAAAGTTAGTCTGAGAGTCTTAGTTTGTCAAATTCTGAGTCTTAGTTTGTCAAAGTCTATGCTGGCAGGAACTATGACTATCAACATATACATAGTTTTTCTCCTAAAATTTCCACCTGATCTATTACTGTTTTGGATTCATACACATGCTCATAAACATATGCATGTCTATGTTCTAACAGGGCAACAATCTAAAATTTTGAAAGTAAACTAAAAGACAGCTATAGATGAGCTATAGCCATAGCTTTAGGAGAGCTATAGATGAAAACATTAAATAATGCATAACTACAATACTTTACTGGAGAATGAAATGCTAATTATGCAATCATACAAGACTGATGTGTGCTCTGTAAAGAAAACAATATCATTAAGATGATCTTATATTTCACGCAAAACTGTGTTTAATTGCAGTCCATTTTTCACCAGCAAAAAAAATAAACACTTTAAACCCAATTACTTTATCTGTTAAGTTCAAATAAAATATACATAAATGTGGATGCAATATAAAATATATACAATATTTATTTACTTAACAATACTAAGCTTAAAGCAGAAGAATCTCAAGACCCAATGTTAGATAAGAGAAACATTTTTCTCTGTCCTGTGTAATCATTGTTGATAATAATTAATATTCATCATGTTAATGAAATTTGTTTGTACAAAATAATTAACATAAAAAATGCATATCTATTATAACTATATTTTTAGTTATAATTTTCTGTTTGAAAAGAATTTAATTTTTTGAAATTAATTTAAGAAAGATCTTACTATTAAGCATAAATTTCAAATCCTTTTCCCTTTGACGAATATCTACAAATTATAATTTTAGTATTTGATGTTGAAGAACTAGAGGAATCTGTTATTTAAAACACACACATATAATAAAATATGTGCAAGTACAAGATGTTCTTATTGCTTTAATTTACAAGTTTCTATTAATACCAGGTATGC